TCCTGCTCACACTGTCTCTCTCTCTCTCAGAAATAAATAAAACATTAAAAAAAAAAAAAAAAGGGCAAGCTTCCAAGCACTTCTCATAGCCACGCTCTAACTGCAAATGAATCACCTGGGACTGAGAAATGTACAGCTGGGGAGTCTGATGAGCATGACTAGGTTCACCTGATCCAGAAACAAGATGCAAATGGATAACAATCAAGCTTCCAGAACCACAAAAGAGGGGCCCCAGCCCAAAACCCCAGAAACTCCCACCAGAGGCAGCGGTGGGGGGCGGCGCAGAGACAACACAGGGTCTGGAGTCAAGAAAACGCCATCACATCCCAGCCAGGAGACCTCTCTGGACCTCAGTCTCCAAATATGTCAACTGGGAATCCCACCACCTCCACACCACCGATTGGACTGTTAGGAAAACTCCGGGTGAGTCCATCATCTAACTGGTTCTCAATCACCTGTAAAAGGTTCACCACCAATCGGTTAAGTGTCTGACTTCGGCTCAGGTCATGATCTCACTCACAGTTCGTGGGTTCGAGCCCCACATCGGGCTCTGTGCTAACAGCTCAGAGCCTGGAGCCGGTTTCAGATTCTGTATCTCCCTCTCTCTCTGCCCCTCCCCTGTTCATGCTCGGTCTCTGTTTCTCAGTAATAAATAAGTGTTAAAAAGTAAAAAAAAAAAAGTTCACGACCGTCAACCACCTGAGCAGGGGGCTCGGCTCCCTCAGCACCGGGGGATCTGATGCAGCACTGCGGTGCCAAGGCAGCGAGTGCCACCTTACCCTCATCGGCCCACAGCGCTGCTTAAACCTCGTGCCCGCCTTGCTGCTAACAAGGGATCTTTAGGACGAACTGGTTTTCTTCAATTTACAGAAGACACAAAACATTAATATGAACACATGATGCTTAATCAATCACTTTCTAAAATTCAGTCAAAATAAATTATGACGGGGGGGGGGGGGAATGGTTATTTTTAGCTGTTATAAATGAACCAAGCCTCCGGAGTCGCTTGGGCAGAAACTGGGCATAAATTCCCAAACCAAGAAAACAACAAAACCCACCACCAAGAAAAACCGTAGAAGTCACAGTGTAGTCCAGAAATGACATTCGTTATTGACGTTGTCTGTGCCCTCACGAGAGAGGCAGGGGAGGGTACGAAGCACTTCACATGCACTGCCTCACTCAACCCTCCCAATAACCCCGTGAAGTAGCTCTTCTCACCTCGCGACTGGCCCAGGCCGACACTGACCCCGCTAAGGGGCCAGTCACCATGACGTGTTCTGCTAATGCAAGTCGGTCCCGGACAGGACGGCAGATACACCTGACGTTTTGCCGGAAGCCCGCCACCCAATAAAGCGCCCGCTGGTTTACAGTTTGTCCATCAGATGGCACACCGTCAAATGCACTCAAACAGACGAGCTACTTAAGGAGAAGCCAACAATGGTTAAGACACACCAGTACCAAGGCCACGGGCAGGCTGAACCCCGAGCAGGTATCCAACCCAACAAAAAGAGACGTTCTTTTTAGAACGTAAACGTCTAATGGATTGCAACATTACAGAAGGATCCAAAGGTATGGGATGCCCGATGCCCCAATCCCAGGGAAGCGGAAACAGAGACTCAGAGTGACTTGGCGGAGGCCCCCAAGGAGTCAGGGACCTGCTCTACGCTCCCTCTTGGCTCACGGCCCGTAACCTGGCGCTACCCTGGGCACCACCTGCCCCACCGTGACCCCAAACCCTCACCTACGGCACTCACTGCATCTGAGGTACCTCCTTCTACCACCAAATCCCCACAAACAACAAGCCACAGTGTTAGGCTGACCTACAGTTTCACTTGCTTATGTGACTCATTTTCCAGAAATGCTGAGAAAAGCCGCTGTGATGAAGATCTAAGAGGCAACAGGAAGCGGCAAGCAAAACAAACAGTTCACAACAGTTCTGTTTGGTCTACACGTGTGCACCGCCGGCCATCCACACTGACCTCGGCAGGGAGGGCCGGCGGGGACCCAATACCGCCACCCAGGACTTCCCTCTCGGGCCAGGTGATGCTCTAGGCTCCATGCGGGAAGGAAGCAGGGTCTAGTAGGAAGAGCCCGGCCTTCCAAGTTCAAGAACTAGGTGCTGGTGGTACCACTTAGTGTTGAGTTACTCACTGAGTCTCTATCTCCTTTGTAAGAAGAGGAATAATATCTCACATCTCACGGCGTTGCTAGAAACATGAAAAGCGTTAACACTTAAAAGCCTGGGGGCTCAGTCGGTTAAGCGTCCAACTTCAGCTCAGGTCATGATCTCACAGTTCGTGGGTTCGAGCCCCGTGTCAGGCTCTGTGCTGACAGCTCAGAGCCTGCAGCCTGCTTCCGATTCTGTGTCTCCCTCTCTCTCTTCCCCTCCCCCGCTACAGTTCTGTCTCTCTCTCAAAATAAACAATAAAGTTTTTAAAAATAAATAAAAAAGAACATAGCCTAGAACAGCATGTTTCACATGGCCCGATAGGATTGGCTGTCCTCCTGGATTTAATTAGTTAAGATTAAATTAATCTACACATTGAGCTAAGTCACACTAGCCTTGGGGTGAGTGCTGGACAGCTGCGGGAGGCAGAGTCTGGAGAACATGGGTCCAGAACATCTTCATCACCACATGAGGTCCCAAGCCCTCTGCTACTGGCCTGAGCCCTCGCCACTTGTTCAGGCACTGAGGGTCACCCGCTTTCGGGCCCCCGGGACCGGTCTCCAGAGTGACAGTTCTCACATATCTGAACTTGCCTCTCCTTCAAGGACTTCCTGTTTCTCTCTGGGCTCCCAAGTTCAACCTCCAAACCCTCTACGCTGTTCCATCTCTGAGAATCAGCCTCTTCGGGGCATCCCCTGTGCTGAGTGTGCAGCCCCTGTGTGGGTGCTGGGCTCACTGTGACACACACAGAGTCGCCCCGATGAAGCCCCAGTGACCACCCATCCTTTGGGCCAAAAGACAAAACCTCGCGGCGCCTGGGCGGCTCAGGCGATGAAGCACCCTACTCTTGATTTCAGCTCAGGCCATGATCTCACGGTTTCGTAGGATCGAGCCCCCTTCGCGCTATGTGCCCACAGCGAGGGGCCTGCTGGGGAGCCTGTCTCCCTCTGCCCTTCCTGCACTCGCACGGTCTCTTTCAAAATAAAGAAACAAAATTAAGTTTAAAAAAGGACAAAACCTCTCCTACGGGGGCTAGTAAGTTCAAAGTCAATTCCCAGGCAGAAAACTGTAAGCTCAGACAGGAAAGAGCTGAACAGCAGTCCTGAGGGCTCTGGACCTGAGGGAGCAAGCCACGGTCCCCACCCCACGGTCCCCACCTCGGCCCAGGACCCGGCTTCATCCTGACAACACCCACTCCCTCCCCTTCTGCCACCAGGGGCTGTTTCACTCCCCCCCTTAAGCCCTTCAGTGGGCCTCCACTCCAACTCTGACTCCCGGCTTTCACCCTGACCTCCGCCCACCCCCACCCCCACCCCCACCCCCGCCCGGGCCGCCCACCCCTTCTCTGCCACTCCATGTCTCGAACCCCCCTGCTCTGCCAAACTTCCCGGTTTTCCCCCCATTCCGGTCTCCCTGGAGTTCCCCTCCCTCCTCTCCATGCACCAAGTGCTACCTTCCTTCATCACCATTCACTGGGGAGACCGCAGACGCAGCAATTCAGGAAAAGGGCCAAGGGCACGAGCCGGGAACCAAGCTGGAGTCTCCCCCACGTCAGAGTCCCTCCCATGCCACCCTGAGAACCCGTGCTGAAGGGAGGCGCCGCTCCTCCAGCCATCCCAGGGCGGATCTCTGCTCCAGCCACACTTCTTTCCCTGATCGGCCGCCTCTGCCTTTTCACACGCTGTCCCCTTCCCTGGAAGGCTCCGGCAAACTTGTCCGCACCCCACCCTTCAGGACTGCGCTCACCTGTTACCCATCAGCCCCCTCTGCTTCAAGAAGCCCTCCAGAAACACCACTTCCTGAGAATGCTGCCCAGCTGGGCTCAAAGCCACTGGGCGTAGAAACTACCTACCTGCTCAGCCTCCCTCCCCGCCCCTCCCCCCCCCCGCCCCCCAGCGCAGGGCCCTGAGAGCAAGTGTCTGTCTTCTCCGGCTCCGCTGATCATTCCTCCTGATTATCAGGCATTGGAAAAGAGACTCGTTCCACCAATGGAAAAACTAAGCCGGGGAGACAACATCAAAGCCTGATTTGCCCTGACGTAGCTCTCCCTCCCTCCCTCCCTGCCAGCTGTGTTCTTTGGACTCTTCCGTGGGGCCCTAGGAGTCGCACCAAAGAGCATTAAAAGTTAAACGCGTCCCCGCCCTGGCCTCAATGCAACCGCAAACACAAACGGTCGGTGGGGGGGTGAGGTCACACACACACCCCCGCTCTGTTACAAAGGCTCCTCTGGTGACCGGTCATCTGCCCCCTCTTCTCGTGTATTATCGTCGGGATTTCACAAACCCCAGGCGAAGGCTCACGGATGCCCCTCGGGGTCCGCAGCCCCTCGGTTTGAGAAACCCGGCCCGGAGACCAGCCAAAAGGGGAGTGGGGCACTCAGAGCAGGTGGTAGAGGGAGGCAGGGGAGCAGCCCCGGGGTGCGGAGAGAGGGCCCCGAGGGCCTGCTTGGCCCAGGGGCTTCTCAGGCGCCCTGCGCACCGGAACGGTGACGGGGGGGGGGGGGTGGGGGGGGCCAGGGGGGCCTCAGGCAATGTGGGGGCGGCTTCTGGAACTGAGGATCCTCGGGGTGTCTGGAAGTCTAGGGGAAACCGCACAGGGTCTCGGGGTTCCGGGGTCCTCAAAGTGGCGGGGGCCGGAGGTGGCCCAGGGACTGCGACTGGGTCTCGGGGACCAGGGATCCGGAGGGGTGCAGGCTGACGCCCTCCAGGGCGTCTCGGGGGGCTGGGGTCCCCAGGGAAACGCTGGGAGGGGTCCCTGGGACCGAGGTCCGTCAGAGTTCCCGCGGGGGTTCTCGGCCCGGGCCCCCCGCGGCCTGCCCGCTCGGCCCCCTCACCTGCCCGGCCGCCGCGCCGCTGCTCCGGGCTCGCGCTCCCGCCGCCGCCTCCCGCTCAGCGGTCTCCTCGGCTCCGGCTCCCGCGGCGGCCGCGCGCTCCCCGCGCTGGGCGGGGCCGGCGGAGAGCGGCCTGCGGGCGGAGGGCTGCGCGCGCAGCAGGGGCGGGAGCCGGCGCCCGAGCCCGAGCCGACGCCGCGCCGCCCTCACCCGCGCCGCTCCGAGGGGCCGGGCGCAAAAAGCCTTCTCCGCGCACGCCCCCCGGCGGCGCGCGCAGGTTCCGCCCCGAAACCAACGGCGGCGCGGAGGCCGAGGCCACGCCCCCGGAGCCACGCCCCCTCGGGCTCTCCGGCGCAGACGCGGACGAGGGCGCGCACGGAGCTCGCGCCTACGACCCGGCGTCCGCGCCGCCGTCCTGCCGGGGCTGGCTGCGCGTCCTCGCTTCTCGCATCTGCAAAATGGGCGCAGGCGCACTTTGCCGGGACGCGGCGACCGTCTGCGAGCGCCCGGAAGCGCCGCTCGGCGGCCGCGCCCCGAAGCGCGTTCGCGCGCCGCTTGGGCGCCCCAGACTCCGCGGCGCGACTCTTGGCAGGGACCCCCCGCCCCAGCCCCCGCTCTGCTCTTCCCTCATCCGTCCCTGAAACCGCGTCCACCTGTCTGTTGCTTTGTGCCTCCCTCCCCGAGAGAACCGGGGCCCCGGAAGCTGGCCCGGAACCGGCGGTCAGTGCCAGATGTTTGTGAACGCGCGAACCCCCCCCCACACCCCTGCGCTCTCCCCTCATCAAGAAGTGCCCTTCCCAGCGTCTGGCAGTGCCACCGGCTGGGGTTCGGGTCCCCTCCGTGCCCCAGGGTCTGCGTCGTAAAGCGGGGTGCTTGAGCCGCCTCGGGATGGCGCGTGGCTGCTCTCGGCACAGGGGCGCGCAGGTGGACCCCGGCGCCTGCGGGTCCTGTTATTCAAGCGGCCCCTCCTCCCTTTGCCCCTGGAAGTCGGCTTCCCCGGAAAAGACCCAGCTGGATCAAAAACCACTTCCTCTGCGCAGGCCTCCCAGATCGCTCTCCCTGCCCTGCCCGAGCCGCCAGAGTGGATGATTATTCCTTCCCGCCTTAGCATACTTGTCCGGCCTGCTGTTAAAGTGGCTTGTTAACACCCGCCCCCAGCCCACCGGGGAAGCTCGCGTGTTTCAGCAGCCTGTGAACTTTTGGGGGGCCCGGAGCAGCCTGTGAACTTTTGGGGGGCCCGGAGCAGAGCCCAGAGCACTGTGGGGAGCGAACAAGGCAGAGGTGGGCTTCCCGGCACTCGCTTGCCGTCAGTCCTCAGAGCAGCCCCCGTGAGGAAAGTGGGTCATTATTATCCCAAGGGGCCCGGCTTCTCTCAAGTTGTAGAAAATTACCGCGAGGTCGTGCCCCCAGGCTGCCCTGAGCATTCCCAGGGCAGATAAGGGGCTGGCCCGGCGCTGGCGCACTGGTGTGTGTGTGTCACAGGGCGCTGGGTACCGCGGGGTGTAACTGCGTCCTCGCCTCCGCCCAGCTGGCATGAGCATGTCCTAGTGCGTGCTGAACAAAGGAGTAAACTTGGATGCGGGTGAAACAGCAAGACTCCGCTCCCGGAGCCCAGGCACCAGACTCCATCCACGTCTGTACCAGCGGTGCCCTTGCGGGCCCACAACGGGCTGCCCGGTGAGGCATTCGCGTCCTTGGAATGGACATGCTTATGTGTGCGTGTGTTCGCTGCTGTTTTTTGAGCACCTACTAAGGGCCACATCCTACTTCATCCGCACAGTCCCCGTATGCGGTAGGTATTATCATTCCCCGGGGGCACGGAGTCACAGGGCCCCAGGAGGGGTGAGCAGAGAAGATGGCAGAGACCAGCCAACCATCCTTCCATCCCGGACAGGAACTTGTCGCCTTGCTGCGCGGAAGGACCCACGTCATAACACAGATGCCCTGCGCTGGTGTGAGAGGCCAGACCTCCGTGTATCACACACCCTGACCACACCCTTCGTAGACAACATACACAGCATGCACATACCCTCCCCTGTGCGTCTGTACCCCTCCTTACACATGCACATCGTAGACACGGGTGTGTGCCTGGTGGGATGGCCTCGCCGGCAGGAGGAAGGAGGAAGGGAGATGGGCAAATGCGCCCTGGAAAAGTCTCCCCGGCCCTCTTCTTCCCCACCCCCACCCCCACCCCCGCCCACGCCCAGCTCAGGCCTCCTCACCGCTGACCTGGAAGTTTACAACAGCCGCTCTAAGGTCTCCGCACAGCAACCCACGTGCCCCTCCACCCCCCAGCAGCTGTGATGTGGCCAGGGAGGCCGGCATGGGCACTGAACAAGTATGTCCTGAGTACCCCCTGTGCTGGACGCCAAGGACACAGCAGGAAAACTACCCGCTGAACCCATGGGGCCGACAGTGCAGAAGGGGACACTGGCAATAAACATACGTGTCAGGGTGTGATGAGGATAAAGAAAAGGAAGTTGGGTGGGGAACGGACGAGCGTGAAAACGAAAGGGCAATACACAGAGGAGACGTTTGCAAAGCGTTTCCCCAAGGCCCCGATCTAGACTATAGACAGAGCTCCTATAACTCATGGTAAGAAGACAGTCAACGCAGTTAAAAAGAAAAAAAAAAACTTCAAAACATGCTTCATTGGCATAGATACATGGTGGCACATAAGGACCTGAAAAGATGCTCAACCTTTTTAGCCGCCAAGGAAATGCAACTCAAAACCACAAAGAGGGGCGCCTGGGTGGCTCAGCCGGTTAAACGTCCGACTTCGGCTCAGGTCATGATCTTGCGGTTTGGGATTCAAGCCCCGCGTCGGGCTCTGTGCTGGCAGCTCAGAGCCTGGAGCCTCTTTCAGACTCTGTATCTCCCTCTCTCTCTCTGACCCTCCCCTGCTCACGCTGTCTCTCTCTCTCTCTCTCTCTCTCAGAAATAAATTAAAAACATTTTTAAAAATTAAAAAAAACACACAAAGAGATAGCGTTATATACAAATGTAAAATTAAATGGCCAAAATTAAGAGGATTTCCCATACTGAGTGTCATTAGGGTGCGGAGGAACGGGAACCCTCACGCTCTGCCGCTGGGCAGGTGACGTGTTACAACCAGTGCACACCTGTCAGAAAGGCTAAAATAAAAAATAGTGAGAAAACCAAATGCTGGGAAGGATGCAGAAAAACCAGATGATCCAGCCAGTGCGGGGGTGGGGGGTGGGGGGGGTGGGACTGTACATGGTTTCCAGCCGCCGGAAAACAGTTTGGCGGTTTCTTTCAAAAGCGAACGTGGGGCGCCTGGGTGGCTTAGTCGGTTAAGCGTCTGACTTTCGCTTAGGTCATGATCTCGCGGTTCGTGGGTTCGAGCCCCGCGTCGGGCTCTGTGCTGACTGCCAGCTCAGAGCCTGGAGCCTGTTTCAGTCTGTGTCTCCCTCTCTCTCTCTGACCCTCCCCTGCTCACGCTGTCTCTCTCTCTCTCTCCTAGAAATAAATAAAACATTAAAAAAAAAATCTTTAAAAAAAAAAAGCGAACGTGCATGGCCAGGCAACCCACCAATTGCCCCCTCGGGTATTCATCAGGGGGTGGGGGGGGAGACAATGAAAACTGTGTTCGTGAAAGACCTCGCATAAAGAGTCACAGCAGCGCCGTTCAGAACAGCCCCAAACCGGAAACATCAAGAGCCCCTCGGTGGGTGAACGCCATGGCCACGGCCGGGGAGGAGTGGGTGAGAGCAGCCCACCGCATCCACGCGCATCGCCTCTCGCAGGCGTGGGAAGGGGCCCAACTCCTCCAGCCCTGATTGGTGGAGGGGCGGCAGCGGGTGCCCCCATCCGTCCCAAAGCTGGCATTCGGCAGGGACTGCATGAGCAAGGCACCCGCGCTGCCCAGACCACCAGCCCCTGCCTCTTGGCGGTTTCCGTGTCCGGCCTCTGATTGTCACGCGCCCCACAAAGGAGGGGAGATAGTGACTGCAGCACCCCTCCAACCAGGTAGAGGGCCCTGAGGAGGGGCCGGGGGGAGACTGTGGTCCTCCCAGAGAGAGCAGGGGGCGTGGGGCTGAGGCCTCGCCGAAAAGCACCCCAACCTCCTCTTCCCTCTTTTCAAGCAGCCTGTGTGCCGTGTTGCTGGTAAAATTCAGAAATCTTCATTAAAAACAGAAGAACAAGAAATACGACATCCCAGGACCTTGTTCCTGTTTCTTCAGCATTTATTTACCTGTGACAGGGCCGTGGAATATGACCTCTGGGCTCGGGAGTTCTGGGTTAGAGATTATAGGGATCTGAGAAAAGTACCTTCTCCTCCAGGAAGCCCTTCTGACTATTCCAGCCCTGATTGGTGGGGAGGGGATCACACCTGATTCCTACAGTACTTGTAGCCTGACCTGTGTGTTGATGTTGAAGGCCAGACCGAGCTCTGTCCAAGGCTCTGCTCTGATAATTCCTCTGCGTATCTGGTCTTCCGGCCGGCTTTCCCAAGCCTGGGGCTCAGGGCTCTATTGGGTTGAACTGAATGACATCACTTTGTGATTGATCAGTTCTCAGGGGGAAAAAAATAAGTTATTTTATTGTATTTTTTTAATGTTTTATTTATTTCTAGGAGAGAGAGAGAGACAGCGTGAGCAGGGGAGGGTCAGAGAGAGAGGGAGTCACAGACTCTGAAACAGGCCCCAGGCTCTGAGCTGGCCGTCAGCACAGAGCCCGACGCGGGGCTCGAACCCACGAACCGCGAGATCATGACCTAAGCGAAAGTCGGACGCTTAACCGACTAAGCCACCCAGGCGCCCCATTAAAATTTTAATGTTTTTATTTATTTCTGAGAGAGAGAGAGAGAGAAAGACACAGTGTGAGCTGAAGAGGGTCAGAGAGAGAGGGAGACACAGAATCCGAAGCAGGCTCCAGGCTCTGAGCTGTCAGCACAGAGCCCGACGCGGGGCTCGAATTCACGAACTGTGAGATCACGACCTGAGCCAGAGTCAGATGCTTAGCCAACTGAGCCACCCAGGCACCCCCCAAACTCACTTATTTTAGAGCAGGCTTCCCAAGCATTCCGACCCTCTTTGCGCCGATGAGGTCAAGGGCACCCAGAGAGGTTACTCCCTAGCATGTCTATGTGATTAGTTCATTGATGAGCCACGCCTGGGGTGGGAGGGACGGTGTCTACGCAGAGGTGGAAAGCGCAGTTTGAAGGCCCTGCTGTGT